CTGATGAAGAAGAAAAAAGAAGCCATTGAAGATGTTTCTTGTATTTATGTGACAAATTAATTGTCATCATTCATGTACTCCTTTTTGTATATGTTTTAGTTATACACAGTGAAAAATAACTTTGACTGCAAGACAACTTGACATGTCACGTGTGAGTCCACAATGTCTGTGTTGGCATTATTTAAAACAAAATGGCTACCAGTTGACCATCATGGATTGGATTGAGACAAAGATAAATTTTTATTGATATGCTATACCCAGTTGTCTGGTTACAAAGTTTGAACTTAACTGGATTGTGTAAATTGAAACAAAATATATGCAGAATTATACAAAAAAATAATAGCAGATTTTCATGACACAAATTTGCTGTTGATGTGCTAGAACACAGCTGTCTGTGTACCATGTTTGAACCTATCGTAATTGCAAAGTGTGAATGTGTGATATCAACAGAACTGTGCAAAAGAAAGATATCAATAGCAGATTTTTGTCAAACAAAATGCCTGCTAGTCGGCCATATTGGGCAAAAATCTACTTGCCTCTTTGTGAAATAATACATTGTCTTTGTACCATGTCCAAATAAACTTAATGATTACATTCTCAACTTTTAAGCAAAAATGACCTCCAGTCGGCCAATTTAGAAAAAAATCATGAAAAATAATGAATATGCCTGAATATGCAAATATTCTAAGTTTGAGCGAAGTCAGCTAGTATAGCTTGGAGATAATGCTATACAGAAATTAAATGTAAGTTTTTAGACTATTTATATTTGACCCACCAACAAATCTGAATATGCATATGTATACCGTCGCATATCAACTATGTACCAAGTTTGGGAAAAATGAATTTGTTAATTTTAACCCATACAATAAGTACTCATACTGTGTCTAGTCAAGAAGTAAAAAGCTGTGATTCTTGATTTAATTAATCTACATGTACAGAAACATAATTTTTATTGAAAGCTTAAGTGTATCTTTGTGTTCTTGTTGCAGAACGTGCATTATACTGCTTTGAATGTAGTTTTCATACATTGTTCAATGTCACACAAGCCAACTGTCAATTGGATTACAGAAGACAAGAAAACAGAGGTTTATTTTTGGCAATTTTTAAACATTTGATGTTTGTTGGACAAAGAGGATGTTATCGAACGGCGCTGGAGTTCTGCAAACTTCTCTTAAGGTACCAATGTCATGTTCAACACAAACAATGTATTTTACGCACATTGTATACTTGCATATGGGATTGGTATTGAGCACAACACAAGTAACCAAAAAAACACTAGTCTGATCAGACGTCTTTTGCATACAATCCATCAAATAAGTTGGAATTTATTTTCACAAAAGATTTTAATAAGGGAAAATACTTTTACTTTATATTCAACTCATCACAAATCAGGGAAATTAAACTTCATGCAAAACAGCCAAATTGTCTTTTCAGCGAAAATTAATTCCAGCTAAATATTTTGCAGTGTATGAATGATGCATATTTTTATTTTGCCAAACAATCATGATTTATTTCAAGTGACTGGTCTTGTGTCCTTACCCACACTTTGATTGACTGGCATTATGATATCCATACACAATGACATATTTCACAATTTGAGTATCAAATTGGTATAGCTGAAAGACTTTTTTTTCATATTCAGATAGACCATGTCAACCATTTCATGTCACGTCAAAAATATGGTTTATAAGTAGGCTTCTTTCCCCTGTTGTGAATTCATGTGAATAAAATAATAATAAGACTATGTCATCATTGACAATGATTTCACTCTGATTTATTTTTATAGTTTGGATTCAGACAACGATCCACTATGTGCCTCATTAATGATAGATTTCTACAGTCTGCGATCACAACAATATAGCTATCTAATAAGAATGTACAATGAATGGCAGGTAAGTACACATTGTATAAATAATTAAATAGATATAACAGTGCTTAGCACATGGCCAACAGCCCTTGACCAATCAGATTCGCGATAAAGTGTGGTCCTATTTCACCACGAATTCACTTAGATCAAAAAACGCAAGAAAACAAAGGATTTTCATTGCAACACCAAGAACAGACACAAAGTATCCATTGAGTTACAGAAAACATCTAGTTCGATTCAACTGACACTACTGGCAGCATGTAGGCCACCGTTGCAACATTTTGACATTATGTAACATAATGTACTAATCTGCTGTCAAAATGCGATAATGCGAATCTTTTCTCGGGCTGATTGGCCAGTGCTAAGTCGGGAGAATTAGAACTCAGGCCTACGGCCCTCGTCCAAATTCTCAGTCACCTCGGACTGTGATATAACAGTGCTTAGTTGCAACATACCGGTACTATCTTTATCCTGTCCAGTTTTCATTTTTCTTTTGAGACCCAGGAATTGAGGGTAGCATGTACAACCTGTAGCAGGTTGACTCACCCACTCTAATTAATTGATACAGTATGCATATTGAATACTACATGTTGGATTATGTACTAGCATTCTGGTTTTTGCTGCTTATATTAACAGTTGGCACATGGACTGTACATAATAGTTCGTAGCACAATGTGTCACAAACCAATTGAACTACCTCTGACATTTTAATCTCAAAGACCATTTTTTTGATACTTTCTTCATTGTTTTATAGATAGATAAATAATATTTATTTGAATTTGTTAACTCCAGTAGGGTAGCTATTTTCATTGGGATTGAGTGAATGATAGAATAAAAATACAGAAACAAAATACAATTAGTCTGATACAAATTGTAAAAAAATTAACTTTTTACAAGCAGATATAAAAATGATAAGAGAAGAACTAGTCTTAATATCATAGGGTAAACTGTTAAACGCAGACGCATACAGCTAGAGATTGCCTAAACATGTCAGTCCATGATCTAGGTACAATGTAATAGTTGGTCAGATGAGCGTAATCTTCTGGTTGGTGTATATTGAACAAACATTGATTAAACATTCTTTGAATCCAGCCCATGAATAGATATAAAAATCATAAAAAAATCTTTCTACGGTAATTTGAATTGGAATAATAATGAATTTCAGATATAGATTTATTGTTGGTGCAGTTGGTTCGGTGTCTAAAATCAAATTCATTAATCATCTCTGGAAACATTTTGGATCATTGATACATTATATATAGTTCATACATGTTTTGGTTTGAATGGAAAATATATTTTTGTTTCTGAGTCTTGAAGACCTGATAGATGCAAACTCTTTCCATTTTTAAACATTACAATGAAAGTACATGTAATTATACTTTGCAGGGACATAAGAATTTATCTCAGCTGCCAAACTTTGCATATTCCATCGCCTTGGCTCATTTCCATCAAAGTAAAGACGATGACAGTGATCTGGAAACAGCTGACCATTATTTACAGACAGCATTGCTTATGTTTCCTTCAGTAAGTATAATCAGAGGTACATTACTTGGGGTTTGCAATGCACATAGTACTATATGGTGACATCATGCCAAGATCCTATTCAAGTCTCATCTCGTAGATAGTGAGACGGATGCTACAACCTCCTGACATGACATAGGCGGTTTGTAATAAAACAATAAAACATGTATTACCACATTCATAGTGAAAAAATGTAATACATCGAAAATGTACAGAAAATATAGTTATCGTAATCCGTCATATCGTGAGCAGCTATTTTGATCCACCTGGACATCCCAGTATCCTAGTTATCTCGGGCATGCGCATTCGCATTTTTCTCAGTTGGAACGCTTATGCGAAAGCGAGATTGTAACGGGATCTTGGTATCATGTCACCATAGTTGCAAACCCCAAGTAATGTACCTCTGGTAGAATATACTATTTTTTCACAAAATGTTAGCCCACAGTACAGTTCAATCTTATTTCACATTTCTTACAATGGCGTATTAACCCTTTGATTAAGCATAAATTTTTACACATTTCACAAAATTTCAAACAGTATCTGACATTGGCTTTTAGGTTTTGATAAAAAGGTTTGTTAACTTTTATCAACATTTATTTCAGGAGCAGACTGTACAGAAAAAATGTGTGGATAGTGCCAAAGCTTAACAATGGCACTCAAAGGAATAAAAAATAAACTACTAGTATTCAAAGTAAATCATTTGAAATAGTAGAGTAAACACGGCACTATTACCTGGTTCCACGATGCATTTTGAATTGACATCACATGTGTGCAACTCGATAAAAATACAAAAAATCATCTCTGATGTCGCATGGATTAGTAACGTAAATGCATGCAAGCAATAACTGAATTATACATAATCTAGTGAATTCCCTTTATACCTGGTTAAAATTATCCCAGCGGTACAAGCGATCTTCACCATCTGCTCAACATGGCATCTCTTGTATACTTCTTACAGGTCTTAATACCATTACTTGATAAATGTAGCATTCAGCCGGACAAGCGTGTCACTGGTCATGATTTCTTTGTTAAAGCACAACTAAAGTAAGTAATTCTTTATTTGATTAAACTAAGCGATAATTGTAAGATATGGCGTAGCAGTTGTTGCAATGATCGATAAGTTGTAAATTGAATTATAACATGGTTAGTCTCAATATAGCAATCTAATTGGCTGGAGCAAGACATATGATCTAGCCCCGAAACTGAATAAACTGGCTTGAATATTTAACTGAAATGAGATTGCATGACTGTGAGCACTGTTTATAGTAATTGCAGGTGTATGAACTTGGTACAAGTACTAATACAAATTGTTATTACCAAAATATGGTAATACATTGTGCATTTTGTGAGAAAACTCCTCGTTCATTGGAGCACAGCGTTCAAATTGAACATGCGACGTAATCAACACTTCTATCCCTCTCAATCAGTGAGCCTGTCACCTGTTTCATAAATCAACGTAAATACGAAAAATTACAACTTAAAAACATTGAATTTTTTCACTGGAAAACACCTCAACCCTGGGTGACTGTGCCACTTACTCTATGGGGAGGTCAAAGCCACTTTAACCTGGGTGAGGGTGCCACTTATTCCATGCAGAGGTCAAAGCCACTGTATCCTGGGTGAGGGTGCCACTTATTCCATGCAGAGGTCAAAGCCACTGTATCCTGGGTGAGTGTGCCACACACTCTATGCAGAGGTCAAAGCCACTGTATCCTGGGTGAGTGTGCCACATACTCTATGCAGAGGTCAAAGCCACTGTATCCTGGGTGAGTGTGCCACATACTCTATGCAGAGGTCAAAGCCACTGTACCCTGGGTGAGTGTGCCACTTACTCTATGGGAAGGCAAAGTCGATGTAGCTTGAGTGAGTGTGCCACTTACTCTGTGGGAAGGCAAAGCCGATGTAGCTTGAGTGAGTGTGCCACTTACTCTGTGGAGATGCCAAAGCTGTTCATTGAGATAAGGACTAAAAGTGATTTGACCAGAGCTGTTGACAGGATAGCACATACAATTGCATTTGTGCCAATCATAGGAAGATGGTCACATAGCCCATGCAGTATATGATATTTGTGGCAGAATGCACTATATATTATGCCTGACACTGACATAAAAACTGACATTCGACATTTCATATGATATTGATGTTTTCTTCAGTCAACAAGCTGGTCTTCAGCAGTTAGTTAACCTATACATTGGAAGGACCAGCTCAGTATGGAAGGAACCTGAGGTGGTGCGATGGTTAGAATGTAATGTAAATCAGGTGCTGACAAGGGTAGATAACAAAGATCCACTAGTAGAAGAGTACAGAAAAAAGTAAGTGTTGCACCATTGAAACTTCCTTCATTGAGCATGTCAAAATCCTTTATCTCATATAAAACACTTGTAAAAACACTTCATAAGATATGGATGATTCTTGAAAGTGTGTCAAGAGACCTGCTACAAAACTTTTTCCCGTCTTAAGTATTTATTATATCCTGAAAGGCTTTCTGCACTATTGTAAGTGTGTTGATTTCTTTCAAATCACAAAATTTTTCCACGGCGGTTTTATGCAGAATACTAGCTCTTTTCATTCTGATAAGGTGAGGTTTGATAGTCTTGTGGGTAAAACTACACAAGGATATAGATATAGCTGATGGTCAAAGAGCTGAAATGACTGAAATCACTCTAGTCAGGAAACCTTGTCTGTCATTAGTATCAAGTCTTTCAAAGCTGGACTCAAACACGACTTGGCTGCTGCTCATTTTAACTTTTTATATTAACTTTTACAAACAATAAAAATTCCTTGTACTTTGTACGAGCAAAAAAGTTTATGATTTAAACTCATTTCATGTAGACTAGACTTCCAGTCTGTGTGCCTCATGTATATAATTTATTGTACACAGGGACACAGCCTGGAGACACTAGACACTGTACCAGCCCATATTCCAGCCTAGTAATTAACAGAATGTTTGTTTTGTACTGATGACCAATCACCACCATTCCTTGTCAAACACGTCTTTGTCAAGTTGAGAGTTTCATGTCAATAATTGCAAAACCAAACAGCCGTGTTGGCGAAGGCTGTCACCCACTTATTTTTAGCTCCGCTGTCGACTTTGTCGAGCGGAGCTTATCATATGAGTGATTGTCCGTCGTCGTCGTCCGTGTCAATGTTTTACTTTTTCGACTTCTTCTTGAAAACTACAAGCCTGAATGCTTTGATACTTGGTGTATATGTACCTTGGGTAGACCTCTCTCAGATTTGTTCATTTCATGATGATATCTTCAATTCTCTAATTTTGGTGAATATTTTTGTCATTTTTAGTAAAAAGTGATATTTTCGACTTCTTGTTGAAAACCGCGAGTGCAATTGCTTTGATTTTACATATATAAGGTACTACATGTGGACCT